ATATGCACATACTAGGCAAGTGCTCTACTGCTGAGTCACAACTCCAGCCCTCAATTGAGTCTTTATAGTGTAATTGGCTAAAAGATAAGAGGTGAAGTTATCTAAAGAAAATAGGTGCAAGACAGCTTTTGAATGTGGGAGAAACAAAGTCCTGTATTATTTCCACAGRGCAGTATGTGGAGTAGAAAGTACCTGGTTCCCTATGGTGAGATCAGATTGAAAAGCTGTCTTATCTGTGGGCTACTGCCCTGAAGGACACCTCGGAAGGGTGGAGATGATAAGGTTCAGGCTGCTTTTAGCTCTCTGGTGTAAAACTCACCTTGTTACAACTGCAGATTGTCATTCCATGCCTCCAAGATCCTGATTCTACAAATTCTGGTTTGGAYCCAGAAACCTGCAAGTTAACATCCACACCAGGAACTTTGATGCAGGTTGAAAAATCTGACTTAGGGACAGGGGAATGAATGCCTTTGTGGGGTCTCCTTTGGTTCTGATTACTTGGGTTAATTCCAGGAGGGATAGGCCAAAGGGAACTTGAGCCAAATTTCCCACCTTTCACTCTCAGGGTGTTTCTTCAGGGAAAAGTGAGACCCTCTAGGATGGAGGGGAACATAACACTCTTGGGTAGGAGTCCATGCCTTAGGGTCATTCTGCTGCAGCCAATAGGTGTGGCTTTCTACAGGGTAATATTTTTGCAAATTCATTCTCTCATTATTGTAGAAGGTACTACACTTGTTGTATTGAAGCCACTGCCCACAAGKGGCTATTTATATTTAAATTAATTRAGAGCTGGGTGGTTGGTGCAAGCCTGTAGTACCTATATTCTCAGCTGCTCCAGGCTGAGGTAGGTGGTTTCCTAGAGCCTGGGAGTTCCCTGCTAGTCTGGGTAACACAATGAGTCCCTAGGAAAAATAAATTTAATTTAATTGAGAGTCAGCGTTGAGTTTTTCAGTTGCACTAGCTGCATTTCAYATGCTTAATAGCCACATGTGGCCAGTGGCTACCACATGGGTCATTGCAGATGCAAAACAGTTCCATCAACAGAGAAAGTTCTAACACACGGCGCTGCTCTAGAGAGCAGGAAATAGGAAAGGATGCAGTGAAAAGCTGCCTACRGGGTGGGGAAGTGGGATCAGGAGTGGAGAGGGGAGTGGGCATGTATCCCATTTTATCAGTGCTGATGTTCATTCAGGAGAKCCAGGATCTGAGCCTTTACAGGCCTTACCTTTCCTTTCTTCCACCCAAACYTTTGTATCTTCCATCTAGAAGGGTAATCAGCATTGACCACAACCTGGATTTTCGTTCTCTGGTATGATTCAGTTTGTTTCAGAAAATATTTGTAAAAACATTTTCTACATAACAAAGCAATTACGTATTTCATTTGAGTCCCATCATCACAGAACTGTGTGACTCTAGGCATATTTTGTGGTGCATGCATCTGGGAAAAGTTTTCTTCACTTCTGTAAGATGATTGGCTATTTTGCAGGTAAGAGTTGATGAGAAAGCATTGAACTGTTTTAGCTCCTTTGTTTATTACTAAGCAGTTTTCTTGCCTTCTAAAGGTCATAAAGTTTATAAGTTAGAAGGGGGATAGCAGTTCTTGCTGTGCTTTTCTACCATAAGTCAAAAAGTATAATAAGTAAAATAATCAACAAAAATAAACTTCTTTTTTTTTTTTTTACAGGTGGGGAACAAAACATGACAGAAATAGATGCCTACTATAAAAGGTAAAAGTGTGTTCTTCTCAAATAAAGGTCTTGTGACTGGCAGCCAAGCCAAGGAATCCTGTGTGGATCCGAGTTGGCTGGATTCAACCACCTGCATAATAAATAGGCAAAGGATGGAAGAGGAAAAATGAATTTTATGCAGTTTGATCAAACTGGGGAGAAACAGCTGTATTGTTTTTCAGCAGTCCCACAGAAGCAGTTACGATTTATAGAAACAGGTGATATATATACTTGTCAAAGTTAGTAGGCTATGTTAATCAGAGAACATGTCAGTCTTAAATTTCCTTGGCCTCTGTCCTCAGCATGAGGAAGTCCAGAAGTTAAAACAATTTGGAGCTTTTAATTTCAAAGGGGGTCTGTTTCATTCTCTTCCTTTGTTAGTCATGGTCATCCTGCAGAGTAAAAGCAAGAATGGATTCTGGGAGCTAGAGCATACATAGAACTGAGTATATTAAAAGTGTTGGCCTTTGAGGAGTTGATTTATCTGAGGGTTAGTTGCTGCCCCTGGTTGTTAGAGGACCTTGAGTGATGTTCAAAATATTTGATAACTTATATGAGCCTAGTGTTAGAGCTTGGCCTTGAACCAGACTGTTGTCCTTGGTGGCTAAAGGTGGGGGAGGGGGTAGGAGGGGGGACATCGAAGCCAAGTGGTTGGGGTGGGTGTTCAGGATGACACATGGCTGTGGCCTACTGATGGGTCTAGAAGTAGTTCAGCACTTTTCTTGCCAGTCCAGCCTTCTTCAGGGGACACCAGTGGAATTTCAGCCTGGCAGGTGGAAGCAGCAGATATCTATCTACACATTGACCTTGGCCTTAGAAGGGCTTACTATTTAATATGACTTGAAGTGATTGCTTTCYAAATTTTTCATTAACAGTGAAATGTTTGATCCATCAGAGAAGTACAAAATGGACCACAAGAGGAGAGGACTTGCTCTAATCTTCAATCACGAGAGATTCTACTGGCAGTTGATGCTGCCRGAGAGGCGAGGCACCAGTGCAGACAGAGAGAACCTTACTCGCAGGTAGTTTGCTGTGTGTGTCCAGATGACACAATTCAATTAAGTGATAACGGAAATTGTTACCATAACTCATGAGCACTGATAACAGATCAGAGGCCTTACTTGGCCACAGTTCATGAAGCAGGAAGTGCGGGCTCARTCCCYAGTACCACATAACAAATCCCCCCAAAAGAACACCTTTCTAAAGCGCTTGCCTGAGTTATCTTCCTTCTCCTGTTYTATTAAATGTTAGCAGGCTTTGCATTGTTACCAACATTCTTGCATGGCAGGTGGCAATATTTAAAATTGAATTGGCTGTCATTATGTAAAGCCTTTGCAATAGTGGATGATCAAGGACGACCATCATTATTATTTTTTTCTTTTCCCCTTAAGAAAAGTTGATTTGCATGTCATAAAAAAATGTGTATAGACTCCTCAGAAGTAAGGGTATTTTGACAACTGAAAAATGCTCATAWGCTAATATTCAATTTAATATATCACCAGGTTTTCAGATCTAGGATTTGAAGTGAAATGCTTTAATGATCTTAAAGCAGAAGAACTGATGCTCAGAATTCAGGAGGGTAGGTAGTTTTGCTATAAAATAGCTCACCTTCCTCTGACGGGACTTTAWACTATCTGTAAAGACAAATATAAATTACTGTGTGGCAAAAAAGTGCTAATAATTTARTATCGATTATGGTATTTGGTTATGCCCCTCTATATCACCCACTAAATCCAGACACCTTACAAATCACTTTGCCTCTGAAGCTTATATTTAGCATATCACTAGTTAYAGTTTATTGTTCTAGAAATGAATGAACTCTAAATTCAGTGGTGAAAGTCTAAAATGCAAATTCTACWGATACTGGTGCTTCAGAAGGTTCATTTTTAACTGATTCCTTTCATACCCCAGATTTTCACTGCCTGTGAAATATTTGCAATATGTGTTGATTTGCAAATATTATATCTCAACATCATTATTCATTGGGTATTGTAGTATAATTTATAACCATCTGTATGTCATGGGTTTTCAACTTACTTGCTAGTGGGCTRTTAGAATATTTGTATTATAATTATTTCATACTTTGTCTTCAGACTTGTAATTAAATTGCAAATCACTTTACTGGCTGCTTACTAGGTTTTCTTTTTGCTCGTTGACTCACATCTTAACTCTTCTGGAAGCCCTCAGTGGTACAGACAGAGCATGCCTGTGTTGGAGGTGCAGCCACATGTGGGCAGTTGTTGAGAGGTAGTTTCTGGATCTTTCCAGTCTGCTCTAGRAAGGTTTCTGCTGACTCAAAAAAACTTTTAATTTATTATCAGAACAATTTCAGTCTTAAAGGAAGAGATGTCATCATCATTTCTTTATGTTTTATGCATCATTATTCTGTGTTTAAGAAAAGCTAATGAAATTTGSTCAATCTCTTTGAACTTCAGTAATTCACATTTTTAAGATACAATTGGTATAAATTATCCCACTTAAGTAAAGATTAAAATAAATTATTTCATCACAGATTCTTTACATTTATTAAAGMATACCAGGCTGGGCACAGTGGCACACGCTTATAATCCCAGCAACTCRGGAGGCTGAGACAGAAGAGTGGCAAGTTCAAAGTGAGCCTCAGCAATTAAGCAAAACCCTAAGCAACTTAGTGAGACCCTGTCTCAAAATAGAAAAAGGGCTAAAGTTGTAGCTCTGTGGAAAGTGCCCCTGGGGTACAATTTTTAGTACCAAAAAAAAAAAAAAAAAAAAGAATACCAAGTCCCCCTCATCATGACTATCTTTCTTCTACTATTGAATTTTTACGTGTAGATAACAAATATCTTGTGCTCAATTCTATATGCATTTTTGGGTCCTGCACAGTGTCAACTTCCAGCCATGTAGATGCCGATTGCTTTTTATGTGTCTTCCTAAGCCACGGTGAAGGCAATCACATTTATGCACATGATGRCAAAATTGATATTCAGACACTGACTGGCTTGTTCAAAGGAGACAAGTGTAAGAGCCTGGTTGGAAAACCCAAGATATTTATCATTCAGGTAAGACTGATCATATTATCCTCTTAATTGTAAATCTATGGTTCAGTACATGTGATTGTAAAAAAGCCAATTTTGAAAGTATCTTTCTCTAGTAATTGGTCAATCAGAATTGCACTTTGAGCTGTGATATTTCTTTCTTAATGTGGTCGGTGTCTTCATTACAAATGAAATGGTATTTGGATCAACATTTGAAATGATATAAAATATACACTCCTCTCTGGCCAAGCTTGGTATAGAGGGAGCATCGCTGGAAAAGGATCTGCTCTTTGACATGACCAGGCAAAGCAGCCTGATCAGACTCAACTTGGTCTGCAGGAGCTGGAGAGCACATAAGACAGTGGAGAGAATATGAGAATAGAGAGTGTCAGTCTAGCCTGCCTTGATCTTTTCCTATTTCCCCTAAATCCAGGATTTTTTTTGAACTCAGGGGCACTCAATCACTGAGCCACATCTCYATCTCTGTTTTGTATTTTAGAGACAGTATCTCAATGTGTTGCTTAGTACCTTGTTTTTGCTGAGGTTGGCTTTGAATTCTCGATCCTCCTGAGCCACTGAGATTACAGGCATGCACCACTGTGCCCAGCTAAATGCAGGATTATTTCCTTCTTGCCAAATTGGATTTAAGGATAAAAATATTTGGGGGCATGAATAATATCATTTGGCACATCAGTAATTTTGAAGGGAAAWAAAGGAAACCATCCAGGTTTGATGGCCCCACCTGTAATCTCAGCAACTCTGGAGGTTGAGGCAGGAGGATCACAAGTTYGAGACCAGCATCAGCAATTTAGCAAGGCCCTAAGTAACTTAGCAAGTCCCTGTCTCAAAAAATAAACAATAGAAAGGGCTGGGGCTGTTAGCTCAGTGATTAAGTGTCCCTGGTTTCGATCCCCAGTATTTAAAAAAAAAAGGCAGGATTTGGGGTGATTGGATATGGAAACCTGATGGTCCAGTGCTATAATTCTGTATTTTCATGAATGGGCTAGAGGGCATGGAATCAAGTGATACCACATGTTGCCCTAAAGCCTTGAAGATGGAGGTGGCTATAAGAAAAGCTAAGGATGGTTTGGACAGTGCACTGGAGTGGGTGTCTGTCACAGAGTGGAGGACACAAGTCTAAAATCTAGGCAAGTGGCCTGGGCTGCAGAAGTAAACTTGGGAGTAATCAGGAAATGGTTGGTAACAGAAATCATGGAAGTAGGTGAGTTTACCAATGTTGAATGTAGCCTGGAAAATGAGTGTAAAACTTGAAGGATACCGGTGAGTAATGAGCTGAGGAGGATGGCCCTGAACAGAAAAATGAAGAGAAAAAAATGACTGATGAAAAGGGGAGTGGCCAACTCTAAACAAAACAGAACTGGAAATAAATAACGAGCTACTAGAGGAGGAGAGCCCTCCCACAGAAGAGCCAAGTTACGGTCTTTCTCTCCACCTCAGATTTGTTTTTGTTCTTTGGGACTGGGTCTCACTATRCTGCAGTCTGGCCTTAAACTTGGCACGTGATTTCATAAAGTTATTGGTATTTAATACTAAGATTTATCTCTGTAAAAATAGAATGTTAGGGATATCTTCGGTTTATATGCCAACTCTGAAATCACCCAGGACTGTTTCTTTTGATGATTGTGGTTGTTTAGTCATTTCAAAATTAATTGATGCATTTTAAATGGTACGACAGAATCTTGTTAGGTCACTATCTAGTTTATGGGGCTGTCGTAACTAAGTACCACAGACTTTGTGGCTTAAACAACTRAACTTTTCCTTCCTCTGTTCTGGAGACTGGAAGACTGAGATCAAGGAGTTGGCAGGGTCGGTTTCTCCTGAGCCTTTCCCCTTGACTCGTACATGGCCATCTTTTCCCTGTGTCTTCACGTGAGCTTCCTTCTGTGTGTGTCTGTATCTTCATCTCTACTCAAAGGATACCAATCATACTGGACTAGGGCCCCCATATAACTTCATTCTAAATCATCCCTTAAAGGCCCTGTCTCCAAATACAGGCACATTTTGAGGTACTGGGGCCAGGAATTCAGCATATGAATTTGGGGGAGTGGGACACAAGTAAGCCTATAATACTTAAGAGTAGAATTTAAGGTTAGCTTCTGAGTGAGTCAGAATTAGTAGAGGCAGATTTGTAATCTCACTTCAAAGTRAGAACAAAAGAAAGGTATGATGACAGGCTCTTCTCAGGTCAGGGGGCATCATTTTGACTACTGACAAGTTATGGTGGCTGCCAGCCARTAGGAAAACACCATCTGGAAATATATAACCTGATTTAAAAATTAGGTAAATATTATAACATCTAATAGAATGTGACTCTTGGTGCTATGGATGTGGTTAATGTGTAAGAAATTTTAAAACTGTAACATGCATTTTCCTTCTCTACAGTGTATACCTTTCAACAGTTTGGTGTGTACTTGGGGATACTAATTACTTTTAAAACATCAGCTAAAGGAAATGTAAGGGGAACTAAACTTGGTCAGCTTTAGTTCCCTTGATCCCCTCTAAACCCAAATGCACAGTTTTTCAGCCGTTCATAGTGTGGTTTCAGTTACAGATATGAGAGGTGCTGATTTATATACATTTACTCTAAATGTTAAGTCCTGGGAAGGAAACAGTTGATAAAGAAGGTGGTTTCTTTCTCTGTTTTGTAGGCGTGTCGGGGAAACCAGCATGATGTGCCAGTAACTCCTTTGGATGTGGTGGATCATCAGACAGACAATCTCTACAATGTAACTGAGGTGGACGCTGCCTCCATGTACACGCTGCCTGCTGGAGCAGACTTCCTTATGTGCTACTCTGTTGCAGAAGGTGAGTGGGTGTTTTACAACATAGAGTTGGCTGTCCTAAGTCTCAGATTGGAGTTGGATCAGGGCTTTGAGGATCAACCACCATGTCCAACAAAGACATAGAAGTGATCTAACACATGGCATAGAGTAGAAAATGAGTGTGTAAAATAATTTATAGAAGAATGGTTCCTGAGTGCTATGGYGAGCAAAACAAGTCTAATGATACCAAATACTAGCAGCCTGCTCTCAWTGATTAATGGTGGTAATGCCATTGTGGTAATATCCATGGAAAGCATTGCTGAAAAATGTTTTATAGCAATTCTTCTTTGCTACTATACTTACTGATTTTGACGTCTTGTTTTGCACCTTAAGATCACTAGCTACCATGTTTTTTTTTTTTTTTTTTTTTTTAGCTAATGGAGAAAACTATATAGAAATAACCTCATTTATATAAAACTAGAATTATCTGGGCCTGGTGGTACATGTCTATCTCATAGACTGAGGCAGGAGGGTGGTAAGTTCCAGGAGAACTGGGAAAGTTATCAAGACCCTGCCTCAAAATAAAAGGGGCAGAGGATGTACCTCTTATAGAGTGCTTACCTAGYGTGTGCAAGGTCTTAGGATCAATCCTCAGTACTACAAAAATGAAACAACAATAAAGTAGAAATATAGAAATAATATATTCTCTTACATGAGAATAGTCAACAGAAAAAATTTCAAACCATTATCATGGACATGACTTAGTCTTTTCCAAGGATTTGGAACACACACTTCTGTACCATGAATCAAAAAGTGCTTTTATTTTTTTCCCCCCAGTACTGGGGATTGGATTCAATGGTGCTCACCACTGAGCTGCATTTGATATAGAATCTCACTAAGTTGCTCAGGGTGGTCTTGAACTTGTGATTCTCCTGCTTGGCCTTCCGAGTCTCTGGGATTATAGATGTGCATCCAACTACAAAAGTGGGTAGTTTTCAATCACTTCAAGTCGAAAGAGAGAAAACTACAGTGTCCTTTTTCTTCATAGTTTTTWAAAAAAATTTTTAAATTTTTTTTAGGATATTATTCTCATCGAGAAACTGTGAATGGCTCATGGTACATTCAAGATCTGTGTGAGATGCTGAGAAAATATGGCTCCTCCTTAGAGTTCACGGAACTCCTCACTCTGGTGAATAGGAAGGTTTCTCAGCGCCGAGTGGACTTTTGCAAAGATCCAAATGCAATTGGCAAGAAGCAGGTTCCCTGCTTTGCCTCCATGCTAACTAAAAAGCTGCATTTCTCTCCAAAATCTAGTAAGTAGGAGCCACTTTGACTTACTGTATGTATTCTGTATATATTTCCCTTTTTACATAAAATAGCATCACTAAATTGGAGAAGTTTAAAATGTTTCCAGGCTTAATGCCCAGTAGAGAACTGCCTTTTTAAAATTTTTTAAAAAAKCATGTTGCACATRGTGAAAGGGTTTGAGAAGAAATCCTCACGAATTTATTAWACATTAAAAAATATTTTTTCTTTCTTATTTTAGTAAATTGCAAGGTTACCAATAATATTTAGCTGATTTAACTTGTATTTTGTGACTTTTTTATAAAGGCTCATTGCATAATATTTTTGAAACCTGAGAATTAGGTAAATTGGTTTTCCTTGATAAGATACTTGAAATTCATGTTTTATTAAATTTTTCTGAGTCATATTCTTATTTGTGCAATTGTAGTGGACTTGTTTTACTTGGTTATATATGTTTACTGTCTCATCTAAATAGGAATAAACACATTTTTAAATATGATTTAACTCCCATTTAAAAAAAAAACCTTCAAGAACTAGTTTATGAACTTATGAGGGTGAATACAGTTCACAGTAATTCTTGGGCACTGTAGGATAAACACCTGCAAAACATGATTTGGCAGCATCTTCCACTTCCAGTTACATTGTTCGACCATCATCAGACTCATTCACTGACTGTCACATTAACAGAATAACATATTACTTTTAAAGCTTAGTTCTTATATAAAATTTGAATAATACTGTTCTGATAGTAACTTGTTGGGATGAAGAAGATTAAATGTTTGGGCTTTGAGAACTGGGACATGTGAGCTGCTAGTTCAAAAGCAATACTTAGCTTGTATTTCAGTTGCAGTTCAGAAAATACCAACTGCAGTTAGAGACAAAACATACCTTTTTGATAAAGGTCTTCTAATTACTGAGTGTGAAAAAAAGGAGTTAATGACAAATCAATTCCAAACAAAGCCTGAGATTGAAAGTGGATGCCAAGCACACACACTGCTTTGCCTCCACAAAGGGATGGACACAGGTCAGGGTAGTGAGGATTTTTAGCCGACTGCAGCAGCTGCTGCTTGGAAGAGGCAGACAGGCTGTCTACAATAACAAGTCACAAACATCTACACACCAAGAATGTCAAGTGAAAACTTCTACAAGTAMTTCTGTTTTACATGAATTTATTAACTAAAAAGATTAGACAGTAAAATTAAAATGAACTATGAGACTCAAAAACATCCAGTTTGGAAATTACAAAATCAATACAAAATGGAAAATCCAATGGTGTTTAAAAATGTGAGATTAATTCTTTTCACTGAGTTCTTCTACTTGGCATCCTCAAGTAGAGAGAATGGCGCACACGTTTCAGGGCTTCTTTAGCCTGTCATGGGAAAAAGCAGAAGCACAAGATCAGAGAAGAAGAGAAACCGGCATTAATGCCTGGAATTCTATATAGTTAATGTCTTCTTTGGGGAATGAGTATTTAAACTGTTAGCACAAATGCCATAGTTATTTCAATTTTATATGAATCCTTTTTAAAAGATGAGTTTATAGTTTCTACTTCATCCATATGCTTTAAAATATTAGTTCATTCCCTTTGAAATGTTTTTTCCAGTTCATATTCTAAAAAATAAAGTCTTGTGACCTGTAAGTTTCCCCTTTTCTCTTCACTTTATTACCTAAAAATAATATAATAAATGCTTTACAAGATGATATATCTTAAATGCTGGAAGAAGATTCCTTAGCCTTGGATTGTTTAAATGTTAGGGAAACTACAAAATGAAAAAAAAATTATATTTTTCTATATAATGATAATATGAAATATTTTTTAAAGTTCTTTAATTTTGGCTTACAAATTTTAGTAATTTTTTTTTTTAATTTCAAGGGTGGATAGTTTAAAAGACAGATAAAACAAAAGACAGGGAGGATATTTTTATCAAGACTTTGTTTAAAAAAATTACTAAGAAAGTGAAAAATCCAGTTATGTGCTGAGAAGTGTATCCGAATAAAGTTAGTACATTGGGAGGCCAGAGATAAAAGCTGCCTAAGGAACAGATGGTGAAAAAAACACTTAAGAACTGACAGGCTTGAAGTCTGATAGGCTCACTTGCCCTTCTAGAAATGAACACTTGGGTAAGTAACTTTAAGGCCCATTTCCTCATCTGAAAGAGGGGAAGGGGTGAGAGGAGGAATACTATAATTCTTCTACTTGAAGGGAAATAAACATAAATAAATGCCTTTAGAGTTTAAAATTCCCATCAGTGTTTATCTTTCTACAGTTCTACTTTCTGTATGCTTAGAAACAGATTTCTAGTGAAAACTTTATTTTTTCTATTTCAAACTCATAAGACATTTTCACATACATTTAAAACTATCCCCTTGTATAGTACAGAAGAATAAAGCTAGAATGTGAAGTTAATATCAGATATGTCAACCATTTTGTGGACCAGTCCTGCTATACACAGAAATCTCTCTAAATACTAGCCTGTGAAGAGGACCCAACAATTGCATTTCCCTCCCTCAGTCCTGGGTCCCCAACATAACCAGCCATGAGATGTATTTTATACCGWAGCAAGGTCGTCTTTTAACTTGTTGTATTGTTCCACATCAAAATGCTGTTGCTCTGATTTCTTATGGAAGAACTGAAGCAATTGCCTTCTGCTAATCAATGTGTAAGTATAATTCTAAAGAAAAGAAAACAGCATGTGTTGAATGAACATACTGCCTCTTGAGGAAAGAYATTTGACTTAGCAACACCAAAGCAAGGGGAAGGCAGAAGAATGAAAAAAATATYTGCAGTGGCTACTAGAGCAAACATAAGCCAACACAACTAGAACATTTAGTCTTGTTTAACATCAGCTGCTCCTTTCACAARCAAGCAAGTTGGTAAGAGAAATTAAGAATAGGAGAAAAATTCGAAGGGAGATTTTTGGCAAAACTACCATGAATTACTTGGTATTTTACAATGCAACTTCAATTTTATTTTATGAATGAAGTCATGAAGAACACAAATAGGACAAAAGATCCCAATGGAGGAATTTGTGTTATTCATTCGAGATTTTATATAGTTTATTTGTGCTRTAATTCTCCATCTAGTCTGGTGAAGATAACAAAAATTCGCCAGCTCATGAAGACCCAGATGGCAGTACTCAGTAAAGGTTTTATTGCTTGGCTTGGGTAAGAAATTCCTTGCAAAATGTTTGAACTTACTTCCTAACTACTCACCTGTCGAGTTAGTATAAAGTATGCAAAGTAGATCATGGAATTTGTAAATGYGAGGAAGTATGTGACTGGTTCCATGATATCCCAGGAGTACACCCACCAGGTGAACCAGGCCAGTGCCCCACCCTGAACTGACAGCAGAGCTAATCCAGCCCAAAGGAGTCCTCTGGTTTTGGYCTCAGAGCGAGCTTCAATTCTAGCTTTCACCTAGAAGGCATGGGAAGGGGGAGACCATTAATTCAGTTTATAGGTGCATCAGCTTAAGGGGAAAAAGCAAGAGCAATATTTGAACCAGTGCATGCCTGCATTACTTTATAAAGAGATCAGGTATATGGAGAGATACTTTATAAAACATTATATTAATTACTCATTTCCACATCAGTTCATTAATAGTTCTCTTTTAAATTATAAAGGTAATCAACAAAACCAAAACCCTAGTATAAAAGGGCATACGATGGAAAACCCAGAAGTCATCCTTTGAACCTAAGTAAAATTATAGGCCCATTTTCTTTGACCTAGCAAYTCTGCTTCTAGGAATTCATCCAGAGGCACACTTGTACACGAGACTCAGTGCAGATTCATTTCTTAATGCAAAAGGCCAAATTAACCCACGTTGCATCAGGTATTATGTGACTACAATAAGGCTTTTATGTGCGAACTAGAGAGTTCCAGTGAAAGGTAAGAATATGTAGAGAGAAAATAAAAAATTAGCCATAGGTAGGAGTACAGTAGCTCAAAGCACAGGAAAAGTATCCATGGGCACCTTTTTATATCTTTAAAAAAATAAAAATGTGCRTAAGCAATCCAGAAAAATAAAATGAAAGTTCCTCTCTCTGGCATCCTTTAAATACCCTTAAACACTATTAAAAATTATATCTCAAGAAACTTTATTTGTGGACAAGATACACATATACCCTCCCATTTAAAAAAAATTGAAAACGAGATTTTATCCCCTGAAACAAATTGCGTCACCCTACTCTGCAAATAAGTCAGTTATTCTTTTTTTTCATCACAGATTAACGTCAAATGTCAGGAAGCCATTGCTAACTTCCCAGGCTCAATTCTGTTAAGCAGAACAAGAGCCTGTGAGGTAACACTCCCAAGCAGTGCATCCCAGCTCATATACTACTTATTTACAGGGCTGATCCTCTCCAGGCAGCTCAGTGGTCAGACTGCCCAAGTTCATGTTCACACTGGACCACATACTAGTTGTGTATCTCTATCGTCCAGTTTCTTCATCTGCATATAAGGAAGAAAAYTGAACTGAGACTCATGAGAATTAAAAGGAGGAAACTGAGCATATGTAAARCATTCAGAAAAATGCTCACACGAGGGACACTTAATGCACAATAATGTCAGTCTGGTGTTCAAATACAGGCTATGAAGCTTCCTGACCTGCTCAAGGGGCTGCAGCTGTTCCTTCAGGTGGTCAATTTTCTCCAACAAGTGTTGTTCTCTTTTCTTCTGAGAGTCTTCTAAATGTAGGACTGTGAACAGTCTGTGAACCAAGGATTTCACACTTTCCATCTCAGTCATGTGCACATAGCTTGATTTTTCTGGGGTGGGGAAGGAAATATGTTGGAAGTCACTACACTATTTCCTTCTATGTGAATCCAAGGAGCCAATCTGAGTCCCAGTGCCTGGCTATCTGCATACCGCACCTCCTAGGGAGGCATCTGGTTTTGGTCTGTTCTATTTTAGATAATTTGATTAGTCGATCCTAATAAGGCAGTCTATAATGATAAATTATAAGACAGTTGATTTAAATTCATTATGTTTGTCTTTTGTAACATGACTTTTGCTATTGCTTTAAAAATATACATACAGGAAGTGTAAGATGACTACCTCACCTTTATGGGTTTATGGAGTCACAGGCTCACTTTTATACCTGAGCTCAACCTCACATCCCATATCCCACTCTCTGTCCCCATCTTTCCAACAGTTATGTCAGAATCCACAGGGGAAGGAAGCTAGGACACAGCCAAGTAAACAAAGGTAAAAGCAGTTCAAGTGTAAGTTCTTTTCAGCAAATGGAGTCATAATAAATGTAGAACTGAAAGGCAATTCATATATGCATTTTTTGGGGGGGGGGAAATGAGTGTAGGAGATCAAAATTATGCTGTCTCCAAAATGTGCCACTTTGCCTTAAGGATTATTTTAAGCTGAAGGCATGTAACGAGCAGACACAATAAAAGCTCTAGTCTCCCTCTAAAATCAAAAGCAACTTCTTCAAACTGAGAATAAAAACTACCTCCTGCCCTGGCTTTCTGTCCCACACTCTGTGTTCTCTTAATAAAAGCTTTTCTTGACCTAGAGTTCTTTGAAGATGGTGATTTGAAACAAACAAACAAAAGTTTCCTCTATCTTCCTGCAAAGCTGGCTTTGAATGAAGCCCATTTTCCTGCCAACTTGACCCTTGAGTGTCTATGGAGTGGCAGCAGTAGAGCCCTGCCTCTTGCCCCTTGTACAGTAACAGTTCCTCAGGGGGACTCCTCTGCTTGCCAAAATACAGGCCACAGATTTACAAAGGTCTCCTCCCCACTCCACCAGGCAGAACAAAGGTGGGTCACTAAAGACAAATGTAGACCCTTTTCAGCCCAGAGATGGCACTGGAGCCATCTCCCTGACAAATCTTATTAGATTTTGTCTACCATTAACTAGCTTACCAACCTTCCCACATTTGCTGTCCCAAGAGACTCAGGGTCCTTTTCACTTGTCTTGGCACTTTTCTAAAACGTGTGTTCTTTGTTAAAGATGTTATAGAGGCAGGAATGCTGAGCCACCTCTCTGAGAATCACTGTGTGTATGAAATGTACACATTAATAAACTACTATTTGTTTTTCCTAATCTGTCTCTTRTTACTAGGGTCTATTTTCAGATACGAAGAGAAGAGGCAAAATTACTTTTTTCAATCCCCACAGGAGTCCCAGTTTCAGAGTTTTTAACATAGTGCTCTTTTGATTATGGATTTCACATCTTTCCTCCTCTGTGGTTTTAYAAATTCACATAAAATTAGGCTGTGATGATACCTTTCTGTTCACCAATGCTACTAAGAGGGAGAGCAGACAGACCTGCTGSCCAGGCAGCAGGAAACAGCTGCACATGGGGAGACAGGTGGTCCCACAATCAGTATCAGCTGCTGGTTTTCCATTCATGCCAATAGTTGTGGAGTTATTTTTCTTCCACTGCCACCTAGTTATTCAAGTTTTGATGTGGTTTTTAATTTCTTCCATGTTCTAGGCTAAAGTTGTCASAGAGGGGTGCAAACTAGCTTGTAGCCTTCTGAAATCCACACAAGACTCAAAAGTTCTTTACCATGAAAAACATCGACAATTAAAAGGTCTGAATGCAAAAGGAARATACAGACAGGCACAACTTTGTTCAAAGCCATGGAGTATAATAAAGACCAACAGAACTGGATATTAATGAAGTAAAGATACATTTATTTACTTTTGTACTGCTGGGGATTGAACCCAGGGCCTTGCACATGTTAGGCAAACACTCTACCACTGAGCTACGTCCCCAGCCCGGGACAGATTTTTATTAAAAACTACTACAATAGGGATGGGGGCCCAGTATGAAGTGAACTGAACCCGACTTCAATTTATATAGAGGTTGCTAGATGTTTTAAAAGAAGAATAAAAGAATAGGGAGGGAGATTAGCAAGGGTCTGAGCAGTCAGGAAAGTGGAAATTTATAAAAAGAGGATGGGAGTCAATATGGAGGCATGGGGTTTGTTCATTGCACCTATTCAGAGGAGAAACAAATTACATCTTCCTGACAGGAGGGCCTGGAGCAAATCAGAGCCAGGGCWAGAGTTAAGTCCCTGAATACCTGCATTTCAAAGAAAGCCCTCAGGTCCTGAGAAGACAGGTCCRGGTGGTAGATGTACACTTCTAAGGGGCAGAGAAGGGTTTAAAACTGCAAGCATCTAAAGTAACTGCTCTAAGAGGGCTTCAGGGGCTTATTGGCCTATCACCAGGTTTTGGTGGGAACAAACTAAATTCTCCTGACGGTGTTGAGCTCTTCCAGCTAGGCATTTTAAGGGGGCTGGAGTTATTCTAGAGATGAGACTGTGAACTGTCAGAAACTGTGCAATGTTTGTTCAAGTCTTAGTGTAAGAGGGAGGGAATGCAGACATGTATATGTGCATCACATCACTTGTGCTGAGAATCTGCAGCAGTTTATATAGACCAAAACTAAAGCCTAATTAAACAGAGGGCTTGAAAGGGCCTGACTGGAGTTTGGTCAAGGTGTCTTTAAAATGCTTTTCTAAATAAAAAGAACAAGTGAAAAAGAATAATGCAGTGATTCAARACAAAACAAAAAATGCTTTTCTGAGTTTATGACAAGTGCCTTTGGCCCTGCTTTTCCACAACTACAAGCACTATATACTTTATATGTTAAAACACCAACCTAAGCTAGCGTAACACTGTGGCATCACCTTATAAAGGTCAAATATGATATCAGCAGCTTGGGAGGCTAAGGCAGGAGGATCATGAGTTGGAGGCCAGCCTCAGCAACTTAACGAGGCCCTAAGAAACTTAGACCCTGTCTCAAAATAAAAAATAAATAATGGCTGGGGATGTGTGTATCGCTGGTTAAGTGCCCCTGAGTACAATCCCCAGTACCAAAACAAAACAAAGTAAAAGTCAAATGACATAATTATTATTTTTCTTCATGGCTGTTTATTCCTTTTATAAGTGTCTTTCATGTGGATTTCATTTTCATTTTCTGAATTTTCAAATCCAAATTTGCCAGTATTTTAGGGAAAAAATCATTTAAATAATTTTTGAATTTCAAATTTATTTTATAAATTTAATTTTCAATTAATCTGGTATAATTCCTCTGTCATTTTCCTTCCAACCATGTCTGTGTTCCCATTAATTCACCCTGTGAGATGGGTCAAGTCTCTTGGTTAGTGTTAGGTGGAGCATCTTGTACATGAGAACACTTAGACATGGGCTCACTGGCCCCTGGGGCTCATTCCAACACGCAGCAGGGAGGAACTGGAGGCTGTGGATTAGTCACCTGGACTAAAGCTTATATTTCATGTTGGGATTTGGGGAAGGGGAAGGTCACAGCACAGATTTTTTGAATTATCAGATTAGCATATTAAAAAACTRTGATTAATATTTGAAGTCTCTAATGGAAAAAAGGACAACATGCAAAAACACAAGGGATATAAATGGAGAGGTGTCAACTCTAAGAAAGAACCAAAAGGAATTGCTAGAAATAAAAACCAATATGACAAAAATGTCTTTGACAGGCGTTATGAGCCATCCATGGGCTGTGTGTGTGAGCTATGTGCATTTGAGCAGTATGAGGGGACTAGTCTGACACTGCYGCCTGATTGGGCTGTGCGATGTATGTGTGCCTTTCCTCTCGCTCTGCCCCTGARATGGGCATAACTTGCCAAGATGTCAGTCAACCTGCTGACCACAAGACAACACCAAGTAAGACTCCACCCTTCGAAACCCAATCCCTTGCCTTATCTGGGTGGAACTTTCTATTGAATGTCCTTTCCCCCAAAAATAGAGGGGTTCCGGGTATRCTTGCTCTCTTGCTTGCCTCTTTTGCCCCCCTACCCCCTCTTTCCAGCGTGGGAGCTGATCTTTGAGGTCGCAGAGCTGTCCCTGATCCCAGCAATTGAGAAAAAGGTATTTTCATGTTTGTGTGGTTTCTTTGATGTTTTCTTAGTTATTAATACAGCCAGATCCTTGAACCTGGCCCATCTCRTCAGCCTGGCAAGCTGGCGACAGATAAACTCATCAGTAGACTAGATGGTGGGGAGCAAAGAACCAGTGAGCCTGACCATATATCAACAGAGAGGTCCACAGAAACTTCCCAAACTGAAAATTAAAGAGAAAAAAATGGGCAGGGGGACCTCCATAGCTAAGACCTATAGAACAATTTCTAAAGGAATAAATATGCATAATGAGAATAGTACATGGAGAAGAAAGGAACAGAAGCAGTATTTGAAGTAATGATAACTAAAATTTTCCAAAAGTATATTGCTAATGGCTACAATAATTCAGAATGACTGTCCCCTATCCAAAATGCTTGGGATGGATGACTTAAGATGGTGGATTAGAGGAAGGCTTCATTCCCAGCTGCTCTGTGGCTCAGGATTCAGGCAGCAGTAGTACCGCTTCTCCATGAGGTGGGTGAAAGAGGAATTTAACTAAAATTCAATAGTGAATAGTTAGAACCTCTTAAGAGACTAGAAATCTGGGTACATTAAACGCAAGAAGAAAGACTACATTGGAGCCAAGCCATTTGTGGCAGTGGGAGCTGTTCTGGTTCACCCTGGGGGTGGGGGATGTTTGGCACACACACAAAAACACAACAGACAGATTTGGTATAGAAAAACCAGATCAGAAAAGCAGACTGAACTTGGTTGGTCCAGAGGGTACACTGTGAAACAGTGTTTTAAAAGTGCTCCCTGGTTCTCTGGTACTCAACTGGGCACAGAGAGCTGAGGTGGAGCCAACTTGAAATGTCCATGCTGCAGGTACTGCTGCAAAGCTGGGAAATCACAGCAGACACTGCCCTG